AGGGAAATGTCAATCGGGAGAGAGCTTTGCCAAAGCTTTCATTAGCACTGATGAGGTCAGGGCCTGGAGCAGGCAGCTGGTACTGGCACTGTTTCCTGGCAGCTCCAAGGATTGGCTCAGGCTCAGGCAGAGGTGGCTCCGAAGGTGATGGGCTCTCAGAGGCTGCCTGAGCAATCCCCCTAGATTTACTGCACTGTGCTAGTCAGGCCCTCACTCTCATTCCTCCAGAGATCCAAATGCAAAGTATCAAGCAAATATAAATCTAGTTTTTCCTTGGGTTTGAGTCTTTTCGTGGCCCAAGTGCTTTGGAAGGGCCACAGTAGGAAAACAATCAGTCCCAGTAAATTTAATCACTCATTTTAGTGCAGCTAATAAACAAACAATGGAACATGGACATCAATTTTCCCCACAGAAGAACAGTGCAGCACCTGTGGCATCTCTCCTTCATCCAACCTGCAAAGCATTCACTCCTGGCTGGAGTCATGTGGCAGCACAGGGACACTGCCTCCTGGCAGGGCACTGAGGAACATAGGTACAGAAAAAATGGGTGCCCTGTGCCCATCCTGGTGACAAGCAGAACTCAGAACTGGGGGAATGGAGTTGGGCTGTTGGACCGTGCTGGTGTCTGCTCCAAATCCAGAGATGTTTTGCGCTCTTGGCAAATTCTGATTTTTTTTTGCCAAAGGGATGGATAATCATCACATTGTTTCCACAGTCATTCTACAAATTATTTTGATAATAAGGGACCTCCTGTGACATTAAGTACATTTTAATTGCAACATTGTCTGTAATGCATATATCTAAGTGCAAATAATTATTTTATCATATTTTGTCTGTAGGACTGTTAGATTTATCAGATATTATCTTCTGACTCAGTGGTACAGGTTAATTAAAATTTCTCTTTTAATACTGTTTCAAAGCTAACCACATAATTTCATCTCAACACCAGCTGTGATGGTAAAAAATTATTTTTTATGTTTTGTCATGCTTGTCCATGGAGGAAAACCCAAGCTGTTTCTGCAGCCTGTAATTACTGCACTGCTTTCTGCAGTTGTTCATTTGCAAAGGAAGAAAAGAAGGAAGAATATGTGGAACATCAGTGGCCAATGGTTGCTTTGTGTGTTACTGGTTCATTTTGAAGGATTTTTTGTTCTCCTTCTCATGTACAAAAAACATTTGAGATCTTCTCTTCAGAAGGAGAATTGAAGATACCAAACAGCCTGGTCTGTCAGAATAAACTGCACTCTGGGCTAAGAGAATCAGAGTGGTGATTCTGGGTGTTAACAAAGCCCAGCTTAAGTGCAATCCCAGTCAGCTGCTTACTTCCTCATTTATTTTTCCTCTGAGTGATAAAGACCCAACACATGATGAGAGAAAAATGAAAGTATGAACATAATGTTCAGTCAAAGCAAAAAAGAGTTCAGGTTAAATACATAGCAATATAAATCCAAGAAAGCCGAGGAGGGGACAAAAGGAAAACAAAGACTCTTTCTGCAGGTGGCAGGACTCTTCCTCTGTAACTTGCAGGAACAAGTGACCCTTATTTCACGCTCTGAGCATCATTTGCTAGGACCAGAAGTGTTTCTGTAAGTCTGCCCAGCAGCATCTCAGCGCTGTTTCAGACCCCACACACTGTGCCCATGTGTTCAGAGCCAGCCCTGGGGACACAGCCAGCAAGGACAGGGTTAACAGCATCCCCAAAGGAGGGGAACAGGGCTCTGCCTTACCAGGCCAGAGGATCGCTGCCAGGAGGAAATTGCTGCTGCAGCTCCACTGAGATCACAAGTGACCTTTCCTCTTGGAAAGGAGTGAAGTAAACAACACTTATCTCGGATTTAATGCAGTTGAGACAAGGAGCACTTTATCTCTGTTCTTTCCCACAAGGAGTAGGGAAGCACAGGGATGATTTTCCTGTTTTTACCACATAAGCCATCTCTTAGCCCAGTCTCAAGTTGAGCTGAAACATTTCCTCATGGAAAGATCTCGGTTGCAGCAGTAGGTTATGGGCTTGCACAATGTACCACAAACTTCTTTGAGCAGTTCAACCTTTGGCAAAGGCACTCTGAGCTCTCCTTAGTGGCTTAATATTTTTACTCCATGTAATTTTGACATCCTCCATACTGTTTCCTTTAGGAAGGTATCAGGGGACATGCAAACCCTGTTCTTTCTATTTTGGAATTTTTTTCCATCAAGAGACATAAATCCTTCCCTTTTCCCCTCTACACAGTTGGAGATTCTGGCAGAAGGAAACCTGACAGGGTTTTTTGACAGTGGATTTCTCCTGTCTCTCATTTTTACTATAAGAATGACATCTGACTTCCTCATATGCTGCAATGGGTGGAAATTTTCCACCAGGTTTTTCCTAAATAAAACTCCACAAGCCAATCGACATTGAGAACTCCTTTGGGTGCCTAATGAGAAGGGCTGGAGTAGACCCACAGTGAGGGTTAAATGGATGAGGATCTTTTGCTAACTCCAAAGCTTTGCAGAAATTGATCAACGGAAAGCAAATTGCAGGATCCAGACTTAGAGGAAATCAGGCATTTAGCAGAAATTCAGCACTTACTGTGTGGTTTGAGCCTGAAGCAGAGCTTTGCAGGAGCAGGGGTCCATGGCTGAATACCCTACAGGAACACTGCTAGGAAAATAATTCCTCAAACCCAGAGCCCACAGAAAAAGTCTTTTCCACACACTTAGTCATAGCAGGGCAGAGAGGGCAGTGTCTCATTTCCTTATGCAGCATGCTGGCACAGCACCAAAGCTCTGCCAAGCCCCTGTACCTAAGCCAGGAAGCATTCAGGGAGATGATTCCAAAAGCCAGGGAAATCTCAGGAAAACAGGAAGCTGGACAAGACAAACGCAGATCTGAACCAATGTGGTTAATCAAACGTTCTCCCCTTATTCGAGATAAGATGGTAGTTTATATAAGCTTCTACACAGTTTACAAAAACAAAGACACTCTGATTGGCACATTAACATTATTTACCTTTTCCTTAAGGTGGTCAGACTTTTCACACCGCAGCTCTACTCTAATTCATGCTCGGATAGCTCGTTACTTTGTAGTTACCTTAACATAATTTCTGTCTGTGCCACAACTGAATTCTCACTGCATCAAAGGCTTCGAGGTCCCATCAAGGCCGCTTATTGGGTAGCTCAAACCTCATTCCAAACATAAATCATGACCTCTGTCTCTCAGAAATTCTGCAACAGATTCCAATGCAGGGATAAGCAGCTCGGGCGCCTTAATGGATGTGTTGGACCAAGGATATGCAAGGGGACACAAAACCAACTTTCGAAACACGATTTGAAGCATTTGGTTTGAAGGACAGTAAGTCAGTACTGGCATTCCACGCTAAAGAAACCATTACCTCACCTGTAGGTTGCTCAGGAGGCAAGTCTCCTGTGTTTACTTTTCCCCTGTCTTTTTTCCTAGGCTCAGTATAAAGTGTTATATTGGCATAAGCAAGCAGAGAAGTTCTGTAATTTAATCTCTGCCATTAAAATTTCAGGCTCCACGGGGAAAGAAACCTTACCTGTTCATCAGGTCCAGCAAAATTCAGGTGGCAGCTGGTGTTACATTTCCACAAACTCCACAGCACCAGGCTGCTTTCAGGATGGGGAGAGGAAGGAAGGGCATGAGGCATACAATTCAGGGAGAGCATGCTGGCCCGTGGTGCAAGTGCATATTAATAATTTAAGCCATTCTATTTTGGACTGGGAATGTGCTGCCCCTCACCTGTACTGCTTAAAGCAATGCCTGAAATAGAAACTCCCGTAGCAGCAGCCCAGAGGGCAGTGCCAGCAGCCTGGTGGGGTGGGCACTGCAGGGACAGCCTTTGCAAGGTCAGCCCTTCCCTTTGGTGAGTGAGTCTTGGCTGAGCTGCGACACTCCAGAACTTTCCCTCAGACTGACTGGATGCTGGTCTTCCCCCCGTGGGCCCAGCCAGGCAGGCAGGGTCCTGCATGAGGAGAGATTTTCCCAAGGAATACTGGACCCCTGCTCAACGCTGCCGTGCCAGTGCTGGTATTGTCACCTCCTTCAGGACACCACATAGTGCTGGGGCCCTTAACAATTCAGTTCTGCCACAAGTGATTACTGCTCTGTTGCCTGAAGTGACTGCTTTATATAGATTTCACCTCAGATCCTGAAAGCAGAATGACCAAATCTCTTTCAGGAAATTATTCTACCTTAAGCACTGGCTTTTGGAAATGCATCATCTGACTTTCTGGGAAATTGAAAATGCTATATTGGTGGAAAACACAAGTCACAGGACTTCACAAGAGGTTCTCCTGCACAGGTTGAAGTCACTGCTGTAGGTTTACTGGCATTCTCTGGCTTGTGCTGTCCTATGCCAGCTACTAAGTGAATAATTTGAAAAGTTGTATTTGACGATGTTTGAACTCAAAGGGAGAGCAAGGACTGTCCTAGAGCACTGTGATTCCAGGCATGGCATCTCTGTTCCCTGGAGCTTTTCACAGGCAGAATTTCTGGCACACCTCAAACCACTGAGTGCCTAAAGTTATGCAGTTTGGTGCTAAGCACCATAGCGATGCCCTGCTTATCACACAAGTTATCAGACATCAGAACAGCTGTATCACCACAATTCCTGAATCTGCAATGGCTCCTTTTTAACAAAGCAGAACATGACAAAAACGTGGAACCATCAGAAACTGCTAGAAGAGACAAACTGGAAGCTGCTAGTTTTGTCAATCAATTAAAAGGGAAGGAATAAAAATAAACAAGAATAAGCCAAGACTTTAGCCGTGTGCTTCCTCAGCCAACTGCAGAAATTGATTTGTTCCAATGGAAGGGGAGAGCCAGAACAGCCCAGTTCACTCTCCTCAGGAAGCTGTTGATGCTGAAATCATACCGCATGACCCAAAATTTGAGACAATTGCTGGAGAATGAAAACTGCTTCAGAAAGAGATGGTGTGTCAAGGTGTGATGGGAAGGGTATGCAACAGGAATTACCCATGATGGGGTGTGTAACAGGAATTACCTGTGATGTGCAACACGAATTACTGTAAGCCTGAGCCGGGCTCCAAGGCAAGAGATGATGTGACAGCAGCAAATTTTCTGTGACTGACTCCAAGCATTCAGCCTTTCTGTGTAACAAAAAGGATTAATCAGTTTTTTTCATTTTCAATGCTGTGCGTCATCACTACCCATCTTCCTGACTCCAACAAGTGATTTCTCACTTCTTACCACAGGATTTGGTGGCATAGCCAGCCCTTGGTCTGCCCCTTCAAGAATCCAGCTGTCTGCAGAGAGGGAGAGCTGTGCCATGCTCAAAAACAGGGTGTGCAGGAGCACTGCCTCCTCCAACCGGCTTCTTTATTTATGTATTTATTTGTCCACTGCAACTTCCATGTAGAGCCCTTCCCTGCTCCTGCATGCATGGGGCCATCCCAGGGCTGGAGGAGCTGGGACTGCCCTGTCCCCAGTGGGATGTGTTTAAGGCTTGTTGACATGTTGCTCTGGTGACCTCAGGCCTCTGCAGCAGAAAAGATGGTTGAGAGGGCTCAGAGGAAGTGAGATGCGGCAGTGCTGCGTTTTCTGCTTCTAACAATAGTAATTCTGGTGACATTTTATTTTATACACCGATTCACGGCTGAAAAACAATTTCTATGTGATGTTTTAGATTATTTTTAAGACATTTTGTTAAAAACTAAGACGCATAAAAGCAAGCCATTTCCCTGAAACTCCTTGTGTTCTTTTTTAGGACCACAGCCTGCTTTGAAACTTACTAGGATTTACTTTTTTTACCCAGGAATTTTACTGGGAGCATCTGAGGGCCTTTAACTGAAACCCTGCTAGCTACTGCTTCTGGGATGGATTGTGCTTTTGTTGTGTAACTATGAGCATGTTCTTTTCCCTTCCTTGTGTGTAAAGACAGCACCGATTATTTATATACTTTTATATACTTACAGTGCAAGTGACTATTCAAAACCTGAATGCTTTCCAATGGAGATATGCACTGAATATTGGGGAGAATTTCTTCCCTGTGAGGGTGGGGAGGCCGTGGCACAGGATGCCCAGAGAAGCTGTGGCTGCCCCTGGATCCCTGGAAGTGCCCAAGGCCAGGCTGAACGGGGGTTGGAGCGCCCTGGCATAGTGGAAGTTGCCCCTGCCCATGGCAGGGGTGACACTGGAAGGGCTTTAAGGTCCTTCCCACCCAAACCTGTGGTTCAGTGATTCCATTGCAAATCAACGGCCTACCTAAGAGCCAGCTCGCTACGGCGCTTCCATTCCAGCTAGCCAGCCCGGAGCTCCCCGGGACTCCCCGCTGCGCATGGCGGGGGATGCCGGAGCCACGCAAGGCCCGCGGGGCCCGGCCGGAGCCGTCCCGGCCCGGGGGCTCCCGGCAGCCGCCGCCGTGACGTCACGCCGCGCCGCGGTGACGTCAGGAGCGGGGCGGACGGCAGCTCCCGGCGCGCCCCGCGCAGAACGGGGGCGGGAGCGGCGGCGTGCTGAGCTCGCCCGGTGCTGCGCCTCGTCGCCGGCATGTTCTCTAGGAAGAGTCACGCCGACGTCAGGAAATCCACGCAGAAGGCGCTGGACCCCAAGCGGGACGTGCTGACCCGCCTGAAGCACCTCCGCGCGCTGCTGGGTGAGTGGGGCGCGGGCGCGGGGGCGCCCGGTTCCAGGGCCCTGAGCCGCTCGTGGGGTGCCCGGGCAGAGCGGCGGCCGGGTCTGCGAGCGCGGCTGCCCCTCCGCTGCAGTGTCCGCGGAGAGACCAGCGATCCCGGGGTAGCAGTTCTTCGTGCTGTGGGTAGAGAGCCTCCCGACGCAGAGCCGGGCACCCGAGCGGCTACCCGGCCTCTCGCCGCCGCAGAGGCAGCCCCGGTGCGCGTCCTCCGTGGGGCGCCGCAGCAGAAAGTTTGGGGTGCCCGGGGAAACTCGCGTGTGCCGTGTCCCGGGGCTCGCGTTGGCCTGCCTGCCAAACCCCGGGGAAATGCGCAGCCCGGGTCAGCTTCGGAGAGGCGCTCGCAGAAACTCTGCGCTTGTCAATAACATCAACGCGGGGCTCTTTGTTGGATCTTTAAACTCTGAAAGAAGTCACAGTCTGGCGTTTTGTGGTGACTCCACGTTTGGGGCAAGGCTGGACGTGTCTAGGGGCGCCTTGCGGGTGGCGGCCTCCACCCTTATCATCGTGGAAAGCCGCTGATGAATTTCAGCTGTGAGCTGCGGTTCCGGGAGGCTTTGGGTGGCCTCTGTTCGCTGTTAAATACAGCAGGAGCTGACGGGAAGAGGCTGTGCCCTGTCAGTGCTTTACGGGCCCCTGCTGGTTTCCAGGTGATGCCGGTTTGTTGCAAGTGCGAGCGATCATCGCCGATGTGCCGCACTTGTCATCTGCCACACTTAAAGAGTTGACTGGGAGCAGCCGCTTGGGGGACAGAGTGTTGGGTAGACCTGGCCTGGTGTCACGCTGTTGCGTTGGCGACTTCTTAAAGGTGTTTCAGGTGAAGGTTCTTGCAGAGCCGGAGGACTGGCAGGGGCTGTGATGTGTCCAGCTGCCTGGCGGGTCAGTGCAGGCACTCTCCGAGCGGCTCTGGGTATGTTCCCGACGTGTCTGCTCTTGGCAGCACCAGTGTAAACATGAGAGGTAGCACGGGAGTGGCTTCTGAAAGATGCTCTCTTGATATATGCCCTCGCCAGGTGTCTTCGGTGGTACTGTTCAGCACTGAAAAAAACTCCATACGTGGGAGTTGGAAAAAGAAAACTCCAGCGTGTAAAGCTTTTGGTATAAAGGCTCAAAAGTAGTTGGATTTCCTTTTTTTTCCTTCTCCCCAGATGCATCTCTCCTTGCCCTGGCCATGAGTAGGAATGTGTGTGTCTGTTACTCCAACTGCTTCCCTCAGCCCACAGTGCCACACGTTCTCCAAATAGCTGTTCCTGCTCTCCTGTTTCCTTGGGAGATGCCAACTCCTCTTCCTTTGTTATTTTAAATCACAGGAATTTAATTGTAAACAAAATGTCAGTTACTCTTCTGTTGATCCCACTGGTGCAGGAGGATGCAGATCAGAGGGAGGATGATCATAGGGAAGGGATGAGCAAAAGGAATGTTTGTTTCCATAAATAAGGGCTCATGTGAACTTTGGATTGCTTCATGCCCCTTAGTGGCATCTATGTAAGTTTGTCCAGTGCCCAAAGTGAAAGAAAAAATTCCACTTAAGTTGGTGTTGGCTATGACATCTCTCAAGCTTCCAATGGCCTTTAGGATCTGAGTTCCAGCTCTGGGCAGTGCTCTGTCCACATGGCAGGACAAAATGCTACCCAGACCAACAACAGGACTTAAAAGTGAGTGTTCAGGCGTGTTTGAGAAATATCCAGAACATTTTCCTTATTTCTTTGTTGCTATGGAGATGGAATCATGGACAGAACTTCTGTAAAGTTAGTAATGTTCTAAATACAGTTTGTGGAAGTGCCAGTAACGTGGCCTTTTTTTTTTTAATATAGACTTAAAAAGTAGCGGCCTGACAATAGTGGTGGAGATGTACAGATTGGGCTCTTCCCCAGTGCCTGGCCATAAATTAAGCCTCTGCTCTTTCCCAGAGTGGTTTCTGTGGGACTTTTGCGGGACAAAAATGGATTGCTATGCCTTAAGAATTCTTTCCTCTGGATCTTCTTGGGTAAAAATATCCTTTTTATATTGAAACTTTTCTTTCAGTAGTGTTTTCTTCTTGGGTACAGAAGTGCTGCTGCTAACAGATGTAGGATGCTGCTTTGTCCAGTGCTTTCAGTCTTTTCTCTGTTGAGCAGTGGGAAACTGCTGTGGGAGACACAGAGTTAAGACTAAATGTGAAATCTGTAAGGTTACCAAGTGCAATCCTTAACTGTTGCCTTTAAAACATACCTGTTAGGAAAGCCCATGCTTTCCATGGGGCTGCCTTGATCAGAGGTGGGATAACAAAGGGGACTAGTGGGGTTTCGGTTCTGGCACTGCTTGGCCTCATGGTTCTGTACAGCTGCAGGACCAATACTGGCTGGGTAGAAACTTTCATGTACAGATAGGGGATGTGTGCAGACTTCCTACTGGATTCAGGGTTGAGATTGTTCCATAGAGCCTGTGTGACATTTGAGGTGTTAACATTATTTTGGAAGTTGTTCCAGTTGCAGGGGTGTTCTGGTAATGGGCTGTTTCATGTTGACATACTTTTTTTGAAGATAAGAAAGAATTGTACATTATTTCTGGGGTGAGGCTGGTCATAAAAGTTTATCATTAACCAGGGTGTGTCTGCAAAATTCTCTTCATCTCCTTTAATTTTTCAAGTACTTGAGCATAAAGAGAGCTTTAAGAAAATAGCATAAAGTGACTCTGGAAGTTCATGAAATTAAGGGATGATTTCTAACAGGTGACTGTGATAAAATCTGGCAGTTAAACAGGAAAATAAAAGGCACGTCCATGTGCTAAGGACAGGCTTAGTATCCCCTCTGGGTTTTTTTGTTTTAGTATGATTAAGAGCAATGAGAGTGTGCTTATGGACTCAGGCTCTTACTAAGTGGTACCCGAGTATTACCCTAATTTTTAAATTGAATAGTAAGGTGAGTCAATGTGGCTGACAGTTATCCAGTGAGCCAACATTTCCTATTTATAGAGAAGAAATAGGGTGTGACCCTCATGAGTGTCTCACTCTTTCCTGTATGTTGCTGTAGCAGCTACTGTCAGGTGTTAGCTAGACTTGTGAGCTTGTCCTGTATGGGAATGGGGGAAATGACTCAGGTTTGGGATGCCTGCTGGTGCTCTCCCGAGGGGTGAGTGCTGGGTGCCTGCATGCAGCTGTAGTAACCTGGGAACTGTCTGGGAGTAAATATAAAAATAAAATTCCTGTAGTTCAGCCCCAAATTCCTGTAGTTCAGCCCCAAGCTTGCTGCCTTGTTTCCTCACGTGCTTCTAACTACTCCTTCAGTCAGTGCATTTCCCCAAAGTCAGGTTTTTATTTTGTTATCTCAAGTGATAAATGGTGCAGGAAACTTTCTCCAATGTTTTTTCCATGTAAGAAGCAGGAATGAGCTGTACCCTGCTGTAAGTTAAACACTTCTCTGAGAAAGGGCTGTGGCTGTAGGGATGCAGCTCAAATCACACTCACCCGTGAGTCACCACGGAGATGCCACATTTTAAAAAATTGAGTATTTGCTTTCTTGGTGAGGCAGTTCCTTTCTCTTCCCTTTTCAATTTAGAGGGAAAGTTTCCTTTTTGTTTAGATTTTAATGACCTCATTCCCTCATATGAAATCCCTGTAAATGAAAGCCTTGTTTTCCCCGGAGTTGTGTTTTAACAGGATGCATTCATGGACAGAAATAATGACACTTAGCTTGCAAATTCAGACTAGTAGTTTGCAGGAAACAAATATCATGTTAAAGAGTTTCCCCTGCTCTAATTGTTTCCATAGTACAAGCAGCCAAGCAGAGCCTTACTGCTGGAAAGGTACTAATTTAAATAAAAATCAGGTTGCCCAGGCCTAAAGTTATTATTTCTTGCATAGCTGTGGGATATTATTGAGCTTTCTTGCTGGAATCAGCTTTATTTTGGGTAACAAATGTGTTTCTTGCAAGGTGAAGCTTCAATGAGGAGACGTGATATTAATTTCAGCCCTTCACCCTCTTCTGGGGGGAAGTGACACAACTTTCCTTGACCAAATCAGTTGCAGTAAAGACCAAAGGGAGGAAATTAATGTGTGTTTAGCAAGTGTCAGGCTTAGAAAACAGTGAACTTTTTTTCCGTGTACAAAATAAACTTATTTCAAATTTCAGACCTTAGTTAACACTTAGGAAAGTGCTACATGCTTGAGTTTCCATTATTCTAAGAAATGTATTGAGAATATGCTGTTTTCTAGTTTGATATGCTTGCCAGATGAATGCAAGAACTGAATTTGCATCTGAAAATCTTTGCTGGTGTTTTTCTCCAGCAGTACCTGCTTGTTTGGATGATACAGAGGCCATTTGGTTATACAGCTAAGACTCAACCCATCTTGTTTTTTTCTTTTTTAATGGAAAGCAAATGAACCAAAGCCCCACTGCAGACTCTCATAAATTCAGTGAAATTCTTTGCAAGGATGGACCGACAGTTTAATACATAATACTTGGTGAACTCACTAAAATAGTTTTGTATTGCATTCATTTCATTCTCTAATGCTAAATTTGCAGAATGCTTGAAATTCTTGTCTTTCTGCTCTTGTGTAATTGCTCTGTTCCTCTTTTCAGATATTGTGGATGGAAGTGACCTGAAGCAGTTTTTTGACAGCAATTATTCTCAAATTTATTTTATATTCTATGAAAACTTCGTAACACTGGAAAACAGCTTGAAACAAAAAGGTAAGTTTTTGAGTTTTTCCAGGAGCTGTTGGTCAGTGTTCCATAACTGTGCTCCAAGGCATTCTATT